TGATCTGCAACAGAAAATCGGGAGCCTCATAAAATATGTAATTCCAGTAGCTGCCACAAGGGGGCCCCGTGTAACGTGTACGTGGGAACGTCGGGCTTTCTGATCTCCAAAGAGCCAAATATGTCTCTTCTCAGCCATGCCCTAAATCTGCCCACATCTAGGAGGGCAGGAGCTTTCTTTCAGCTTGTTCACTCTCAAGTGTTTCTGTCTTTTCTGACAATGGATCAATGCATGTGACCTGCTGCATTGATAGAGAGAGCAGCATCTGCACGTGTCAGCAATAGTGAATATCCTTTCTCATTGCTAGTACTAGGCAACAAGGTGTGCTAACTTCAATTCAAATTGTAGTTGGAATTGAGAAGGAAGCTGCTGGAATATCCACAGTACCCGTCCTAAAGAAAACAGGGAACTCTCTGTATTTGTTTTGTTAGGCTAGACTGGTTGGGATAAAAATGCTTCCTGAGTAAATCCAGTGATGCACGTGTCAGATGAAAAAGAAATGAAGGATAATGTAGTATAGGAACAAAGAGACACAAACTGTCTGTACATCTGAACGGCACTTAAAACTTTCCCTGCAGAAGAATCTTGCTGCTGCCAGGTAAGCCATAGTGCTGTTGCCTGCAATGGGCAGCTTCAGAGCAGCTTGCCATGGAGGGAAAGCACTAAAAGGAGGAGAAATTCTTTGGAGAATGAGACCGTGCTTTGATGTGATTAAAGCAGTCTCTCAAAAGCTTTCTGATCCACATCATGTGGGAGCTGTATCTGGTGGGGAGAACAGCCTGGGGCTCAACGCTTTACCACATTTCCTTCCCTGAGTGAGAGCTCTCTCAAATGGAGTAACCAGTATGTAGTGAGTAGCCTGTGGAGTGCCTCGTACTGATAGAGGATGGTAGCTCCTTCAAGTGAGTCTTCCTTGGGCTCAAGTCTGTTGTCAGTTCTGCATGGATGTTTGTTCTTTCCTGTACTGGCATCTACGTTTTTTTGAGTTTCTACACAGTATTGTCCCTGTATCTCATACTCTGCGTGCTGCTCCTAGTTCCCGTTCACATTTATGCTGGTGCAGTATAGTCTAGCAGGACAACCATATAGCTTCCCTGGCTCTTAACCATGCACTTCTTGGCCCGGTCCTGCTACAGGATGTCATTTCAGAGCAGTGCTGGCAGAGAGCTTCTGCTTGCCTGCACACCTGAGAGGAAGAGGGATGGTGATAGTGCAGAAGAGCCTCTGTTCTGGTGGTTTTCAAGAGAGATCACATCAAGTACAAAATCCCATACAGTGGGCTGCTTTGGGCACAGTTCTCATTTGCTGTCCAAAACCTTTCATCCCCCACCCTGTCATAAATAGTGCGGGGCTATATGTGAGCTTATGCACCTGGCAGCTTGGGGAGCTTAGTCATTGTGACCCACCCTGACTGAAATAATCAGAGTCATTTTTGGAGCCCAGAGCAATGGGGTGCAAGCAGAAATTGACTCAAATGTATCTGGGGAACCTGAAGTGGTGAGGAAGCAGGGTGGTGGAATAGCCGAGTAACCTTCCTTCCAAGTAATCTCCCTGGGTCACTGACCTGATGGGCAGACTGTCCGAGTAAATGAGTCACTTTTCCAGCCCTTTCTTCTAAGCTACTGATCGGAGTCTCCCTAGTGGATAGCCCAGTAATCAGCAGGTTTTGTCTCCTTCACTCTGACCCAGACCTTGCTCCCACTGTGGGCAGGAAGGTATAAGGGAAAGGTGACCTTTCCTGCCCCATCTTCTGCCGCAGAGGGAAGAAAGGGGAAAAACATGCACTTTGTATACTTAGACTACAGAAATAGCTAATTCTGTCGTTTGGAGAGTTGCGTGCTTAGGCAATGGTCTGTAAATATGACTTTTTTAATATATATGTGTATATATAAACGTCTTTAACCTTCTTTATGCTGTCATCTAAATTATTTAATTTGTTAAGAGGCGCTTTTTTTTTTTTTTTTTTTTTTCTGGATCTGTGGGGGCAAAGAGCCATGGGTAGGGAGTGCAAAATCTCCTAAGTGATCTCTTGGAAGGCTTTGTGGGTGAGGTGGAAATCATGTTTGCAAGGTTTCTGTCAGCACTGATGATGTGGATGGTGGCAACTGGAAAAGCAGCAGTCCTGAGAGCAGAACTGAGAGCAGCACAATGCCAGAAGTACTGGAAAAGTCATCAAGAATCCTGTGAAGTAGCTGGGGAGTTATCTGCTCAGTCATTCTTTTTTTTAACCATAAAAATGATAAAGGTGTGTAAAACTGGGATAAAGAAGTGGAATAGGGGGGTGATTGTTCTCTGTTTCCTGTAGTGTTAGATTTGGGTATATTCAGTTAAATTACCAGATGGTAGATTCAGCACAGCTGCAGCTTCCTTACATAGATGTGTTTATGGGTGCTGAGCTTGATCAAGCTAAAAAAATAAATTGCTCACTAGTTCACAGATAAAGGAAAAACATCAATAGCTATTAATGAAGATACCATCTTTATTTCTGAAAAGAGCAAAGGGTTGCTGGAAGCTGTGATAACAAAGGAAGCATCATGAAATGCGTGCCAGTAAGGGGATTTCCATTTCTTGGGATAATGTCTCAGGGCTAGCTGGCTACATGGTCTGACTTACTACATGCATCCCAAACAGGGGTTCTCTTCTGTCGATGAAAAATTACTTGGGGGTACAATATTTTCTGAGTAACCAGAAAAACTTAGCAGTTTGTTGGGAAAGCCTGACAAGAAAAAAACAGATTTTGGAGATAGACTGTAAAGAGGTGCTGGAGGCAAGAGGCCACATGTGGTCGTGTGGTTTGCAAGGCAGGCAATGTGTGCAATGCATTGGTGACCTGAGAGAGGTGTGTGGTCAAGGTGCTTACTATTGCTTAGCTTTTCTCTGTCCCCAGCAAGGGACTCCCCAGCAAGGCCTTGGGAAGTACACTGCAATGCTTCAAGTGGCCAATGTAACAAAAAAGCTGTGAAACGACAGCCTGTGCCTTAGAAGATAAGAGCAAACTTGGTGCAGCTGTCTCTGTGCAGAGTGTGATAATGTAAATTAAACCTGGGGAGGTCAGTTTTGAGGTTTTGCTGTGCTGCCACAATATCTGTTCTCCCTGACAAAGGAATCGCAGTGACGTGGTTGAAGATGGAAAGTGGTGAACCGAGGATTTCTAGCAGAGTAAGTGATTTCTTCGTGCCCCAAAGAGAAGGGAATTTCCCTTCTCTATCTTCACAAAGGAGGAGCTGGAGTGGCTTCAGGAGCAGCTGGCTGAAAGGTTTGGATGCAGAAATTGTGCCTGGGTGTGAAGGGCTGGGAGCTGGGGCTGTGTCTAATGGGGCAGGGAGGAAACTGGAGCACGACTGTACCTGGGGGCAGAGGGAGCAGCTTGGGTTAGAGCAGCTGGTTCCACTGGGGCGAGGAGCAGAAAAACCCTTCCTCAGGCTTAATTTAAGGCTGAATTACTCTGAATTGAACCCAATGGTCAGGCAGACAATTTGAAAGGGTGAGACAATGGATGTCTTGTGAGTAGAGACACTGGCTGCAGCAGATGCGTGTCTCTGATTTGCAGGATATATACATGCATACACGTTGCTGGGGAGCACAGAGGCTTTTATGCAGTGCCTGGGGAAATTCAAGATGTAACTCAATCAACTGTTTCTACCAAGCCCCTTAATAACAGCCCTCTGACATCTTAGATGCAAAGCCTGTGACACAAAATGAGATGACCTCTCTTCTCACGTTGGGCAGGTTGTTGTGACTGCTGTCCAGGCGTTAGGTGCAATCCTTTGCTGCAGTGTGAGAAGTTTTGCATTTTCCTGACAGCAGGAGGATGGTGATGTGTCATACAGCTCTGATCCTTGACACAGATGAGTGCAGGTCTGCTGGGAGCCAGCAAGTCCCAGCAGTAGCAGCCAGGGAAGCAGTGCTAGCAGGAAGCAAAGCATGCAGGGCTGTAGTAGCAGGTCACAAATAACCATCCTCTTCCAGACCCTACCTACCACGATTGGTGTCTCTATGCCACCATGGGGTCAGCTGGAGAGGAGCTTCCATAGGTTCTGCATAGCAACCCAGGGTCCTGCAGTGTGTGAGCAGGTGGATACAGAGAGCAGTGGTACAGGCAAAAGTCTGAAGCAGATCTCCTAGCTAGGGACACCCGGCCCCCCAGGGTACCACAGTCACCCAGTGGGTGGGTGCTGGTGTCCACGCTGGCCAGGAGTGACGTCAATTCTGAGTCTGTCTGGCAGGAGGCCGAGGCTCCCATCTGAGAGCAGGACTGTGTGCCTGGAGGGCTCTGCTTGCTCTTCTCTGGCAGAGCAGCTGATGGCCTGGGTCTTGGCCAAGCAGCAATACCATCGCCTCAAAGGCAGTCAGCTCTGCAGTTTGAGACACACGGATGGACCCACAGTTGTCTAAGGCAGTGCCACCCACACCAACTGGTGTGTGCTGCTGTATGTGCCGCTACCTGCAAGGTTTCCTGAGATAGCCCACAGCATGGGAGAGGCCAGGGGGAGAGAACTGCTGGGAAAAGGCAGAAGGGGATAATGTTCACCCATGTAAGATGCTCTCTGGGCCACAGCTGGATGCAAGAGTGGATCTGCTTAGTCCAGGGAGGTGTGGGCCCATGAGGGGTGTGAGATTGCAGCAAGACCCGATCTGTGGGCTCCAGGCATTTCCCTGCCGCAGGCTGAGGCCAAGGGAGGCTGGCACAGGAGGGAAATCCTAGGAAGGCTGGGGTGACGGGGTGCCTTGTCCCTTGGGAGTGGCTCTATGTATCTCTCACCCTGGGCACAAGCCCCCAGCACCCCAAGCCATGGTGGCTCTGGGGCACTGCCTCCAGCTGTGGGCACGGCTGGGTGCGTGTGTTGGGGGTGTCTAGCTGTGGCACACCTGCCCTGCAGCTTGGGGGGCCGCGGGAGGAGCCCCCCCTGCAGCAGGTACGTCCCTCCTCAGCGGCCCCGCCAGCATCCCCTCCCTCCGTCCTCCATCCTCCCTCCCTGCTCCTTCCCCGCCGCCCGCCCTCCCTCCCTCCGCCTGCATGGAGAGAGCCACGGAATGGCGGAGCGAGAGAAAGGAGCCGCATCCCCGCCCGCCTCCTCCCCCTTCCTGGGGCTGCACCTCGCCTCGCCCCCCAATTTCAGGTACCGGTCGCTTCCCCCGGGACCCCTGCAGGGCTGCCCAGGCCTCAGCACCCCGGGGCTCAGCCCCTCATCTACCGCAGCCCTTCGCCCCCCCCCCCCCCCCCCCCCCCCCCCCCCCCCCCCCCCCCCCCCCCCCCCCCCCCCCCCCCCCCCCCCCCCCCCCCCCCCCCCCCCCCCCCCCGAGCCCCGCGCTGTCACTGCGGGCCCCCACCTCCCGCAGCTCTGCATCCGCCCTGTACAGCCTTTTGACACCCCCAAATTCCTAACCCACCCGCGTGTCCCTTCACGCCCCCCCTTCCCACACACACCATGCATCGCTGAACCCCACCTGATCCATCATCCCCTACAATAGTGCTGAAGGCACTCCTATACATTGCTTCATTGCCCC